AAGGACGCGCGCTCCACCCCGACACGTGGGTCCCTCACACACACACGTGCGCACACCCACACCCACACACACACTTCCTGTACAAGGACGCGCCCTCCACCCCGACATGCAGGTCCCTCACACACTCACACATTCTTACAAGGACGCGCCCTCCACCCCGACATGCGGGTCCCTCGCACACACACACAGACACACACACGCTTCCTGTACAAGGATGCGCCCTCTACCGCGACACGCGTGTCCCACACACCCACCCACACACACACACACACATTCTTACAAGGACGCACCCTCCACCCCGACACGCGGGTCCCTCGCACACACACACACAGACACACACACGCTTCCTGTACAAGGACGCGCCCTCTACCCCGACACGCGGTCCCTCGCACACACACGCACACACACACACACACACACATTCTTACAAGGACGCGCCCTCCACCCCGACACACGGGTCCCTCGCACACACACACACACAGACACACACATACTTCCTGTACAAGGACGCGCCCTCCACCCCGACACGCGGGTCCCACACACACAGACACACACACACTTCCTGTACAAGGATGCGCCCTCCACCCTGACACGCAGGTCCCTCGCACACACATACACAGACACACACACGCTTCCTGTACAAGGACGGGCCCTCTACCCCGACACGCGGGTCCCTCGCGCGCGCACACACACACACACACACACACACACACACTCTTACAAAAGGACGCGCCCTCTACCCCGACACGCGGGTCCCTCGCACACACACACACACACACACACACGCTTCCTGTACAAGGACGCGCCCTCCACCCCGACACGCGGGTCCCTCGCACACAGAACCTCAACCCCACGGTCCTGGTCGCCAGAAAGTCATGGGCACAGGAGTCATCGCAGAGCCAAAGCCGCCGCCCTGGGCAGACCTGAGGTGGCACCACGTCTGACGTAGCGTCTCAGCGTGGTGACGTCCGCGCATCCCGGGTGACAGGCCTGGTGGCCGGTGGGGCGGCTGCGGTGGCCACTTCGCACGCAAGACGGGGCTGCGTTTTCAAGTCCTGCGAGCAGACACGATCGCTCGGGTTGACTGCCGAGGACACGTGTGCTCGGGGTCTGCCTAGGGCCACATGCCAGCCGGGTCCGGGCACGCCGAGGCAGGGAAGCGTCACGGCGCCCTCGCGGCTGCACTCATGAAGCCGGCTGCCTGTCCCCGCGGGCCGCTGGCCCCCGGCAGCGCTCGACAGCATCTGTCACGAGGAGTGCGCGTGGCACCTTCTGCCACCACACACGCCCGCCCGAGGCTGCGGACGGACAGACGCGCGCGACCCCCGACGACCCCGCCTCCAGCCGCCCCGGCTGGCAGAGACCAGGCAGCACAGTCCAACCTGCGGGCGCACGTCTCGCCCAGACTCCGCATTCTGCGGAGCTGGGACACGAGGCGGCCACCTGATGCTGCTGCAGGAGCAGACCAGTGTCCCGGCAGGGAGGGCAGTGAGGGGGGAGGGCAGGCAGGGGGAGGTAGTGAGAGGGAGGGCAGTGGGGGGGAGGGCAGGCAGGGGGAGGCAG